GAAGGGAAGAAGACCACCTGAAACAGACTGTAGTCTGAAGAGAAGAAGACCACCTGAAACAGATCTGACAGTGAGTCTGAAGAGAAGAAGACCACCTGAAACAGACCGATTGGAGTCTGAAGAGAAGAAGATCTGGAATAAAATCAATTCTTTATTTTTTGACATTTACATTAAATACAACTTTAAATGTTTGACAGATTGTTGTTTTTAAAGATGTGGACCAAAGTTCAGATTAGAAACTGATCCGGCCTCATATCTCCCTCTGGTTCTGGTTCTGGTTCTGACCCTGCTCTCTGTCTTGCAGCTCACTGTGAACCCATTACCCTGGAGCTGTGCCTGAACCTGCCCTACAACCTCACCACCTACCCCAACTACCTGGGACACCTGTCCCAGAGAGAGTCCTCCGTGTCCTGGGAGTCCTCACTGTTCCCGGCCCTGGTCCAGACCGGCTGCTACCAGTACCTCATGTTCTACGCCTGCACGCTGCTCGTACCCAAGTGTGACCCCCTCAGCCTGCAGAGGGTCCCGCCCTGCAGGTCAGAACTAGTCCTGGAAGTGAGTCAGAACCAGGGTTGATCAGGTCAGGGACCAAAGACCTCCTGTGTTCCCTGCATTGGCTCCTGGTGCCGAATAGACTCCAGCAGGACTGTGAGGTCCTGGAGACTGTCTCTGGGGACAGGGAGGTCTGGGTTCCTGCAGGACCTGATGGTGGTTAGGAGGACAGAAAATAAAATATGTTTTCTATTTAAGAAGCAAACTGAACCTGGACCTGGGTCCACCTGTCCCCTCTGGTCCTCCCTGCAGGTCTTTGTGTCGTAACGCTAAGGAGAAATGTGAGTCGGTTCTGGGGATCGTGGGTCTGCAGTGGCCCGAGGACTCAGACTGCAGCCAGTTTCCAGAGGAGGGAGGGAACTCCAGCTGCCTGCTGCCGGAGGACGGTGTGGACGGTACTGTCCTCTCTGATGATGATGAKGATGATGATGATGATKATGAAGGTGGTATAACGCTCTGATGATGATGATTATGTGTTTCCGTGGTAACAGAGTGCTCCCCCAGCCACTTCAAGTGTCAGTCGGGTCGCTGCGTCCTGGGGACCAAACGTTGTGACGGACACCTGGACTGTGACGACCACAGCGACGAGGACAACTGTGGTGAGATGAAGACAGTCGTCCTCGTCTGGTGTGCGGGGACAGGAAGTCAAAGGTTTGTGTTTGTGTTGGACAGGATGTTCTGAGCGCGCTCTGTGGGAGTGTCCCGGCAGCAAGGTCTGCATCAAACCCAGTATGATCTGTGACGGGTTCCCAGACTGCCCCCTGCTGGTGGACGAGGCCAACTGCTGTAAATATTTCACTGGTTTGACAGGTGGGGGACAGGTGGATCAGGTTTTGACAGGATGTCCTGGTCTGTGTGTCCTCAGCGGTGTGCAGAGACAACGAGCTGTCCTGTAACAACCATCAGTGTGTCCACCGGACCCTGTGGTGTGATGGACACCAGCACTGCTCCGACAGCTCCGACGAGTGGAACTGTGGTACCACCAACACTGAGCCCACGCCCAACACCATCAGCATTACTTTTATGTTATCACTAGTTAGAATTATTGTTAGTTATTAATAATTATCATTAGTTATTATCATTAGTTATTAATAATTATCATTAGTTATTAGTTATTATCATTAGTTATTAATAATTATCATTAGTTATTAGTTATTATCATTAGTTATTAATAATT